CTGTATTGAGGTTTTCTGTACTATTTTTTGTCTATTTGTGCAAACTTCTTCAGCTGTGTAGAAACTTTATGAATAGATCAGTGCTTGAGTGTCTCTAGTCTCTAAAGTGGCTGGTTTTAGTCTTTCTTCAAAGTTAATGTTTCAAGATTTTTGGACAAAATATTATGGTGTATCATAGAGAAAAGCAGCATGAATTATATTTAAGTATAGCAAATCAGATCCTTTGAGTGACTCTGTCTCTGTTCTTAGAAGGGTTCTTGGAATTGACTGTGGTTTGAATCTTTCAACTGTCAGAGGAGACTCAATAAAAGCCAGAATCTGCATAAAGCTTTCTTTACTTCAAACACTGAAGCTATAGGTGAGCCATCCCATGTCAGCGTTTATACTCAGAGAAGGAAAAGCCAGACTGCAGTGAGGGGGTAGGACAGCTCAGATCCGAACAATGATTAAGGTCTCAGTAAGTAACCCAAGAGAGCTACCCTCTAGTCATACAGCTAGTACTGCTTCCTTGCATGGATACATGGGAGACTATAGATTAAGAAATGATAGCAAGATAAACAAAATGATCTGTTGGGTATCTTTTACTTTATATTTGCTATTTGCAGAGAAGTGTTGTATATATAGATATTATGTCATACTACTTCAGTGATACCTATATCCATGTGTTTGTATCCATGTTTATATCTGTTCCATTGTATTAAAAGGTGTTGGGACAGGAAAAAAAAGTTATATTACTAAGTACATACAAAGAGGTTCTTCAGGTAAATTTCAGAGTAAGTATTAGATAATACTTTAATAACATGGGCAAAGAGGATTCAGCAGAGTAAGATGTGATGAAAATTATGCAGCTTCATGTTTAAAGTCTGGGCTGTGAGAGTCCTGAGAGGAGGAAAGTATAGAAGAACCTTCTGAGTTGAAGGGCCAGGACCAGGGACCTGAGTTCCTCCTTTATGGATATGACAGATTCTAAGACAAGTAGTGCTTGCTAAGACTGAGATGTAAAAATAAAAAAGTTTCAGAGCAAATATATTTCCCCAGCTCCTCCATATAAACAGCTGTACTTCACTAAGCTACCAAGTTAGCTATAAGACATAAGTTTTCTAATGCAAAACAACTTTGTATTTTAATTTTCTCTTCAGGACATTAGGGATCCTTTGTCTTTTGTTTCAGTGCTTCGAAATGTTCATTAATGGCACAAGCCCTAAGACAATGGCTAGAGAGAATTAATATTTTATAAAATTCTATTAGTTTGAGGTTAAAAAAAAAATCAATGGCAAATTTACCAATTTTTTCTTAAAAGCACACTGAATCTAAAACAGATAAAAGACTACAAACCCTAGAAAATCAATTTAGATTCATTTTCTATTGCAGAAACATTAAAAATAATTTGGGTGATTTCCTAAATCTTAAATGGTGCAAAAGGTGGTTTGCTTAGTTATTACTGTGGGCGATGTGGATGAGTCCTCCTGTCTACTGTGAGAAATGTTCTCGCTCAGGGTCCCTTTTATGAAGATTCCTGGGAAAAATCATTTTCCAGTCCAAGTGTCAACAGTTGTACTATTGGTTAAAAATTCACTTACTTTTGGCATTGGCTATTAGAGAATTTCTGGCAATGAGTTTAAACAGAGTGCTTGACTGCAAACAAGTTATAACAGTTACTCAACTGTATCCTTCCTTTGCTGCTAAGTCAGGATGTCTTTACTTTGAAAAAGGTAAAAAGGACAAAACGTATCTGCTTAGACATGTGGAGGCTTTTTGGTTAAATGTTTTTCTATTCATTGCTAGGGGTACAGGGTAAAAAAATAATAATCACGAAGGTTCCAGGAAGTGGAAGGAGCTATGGTTCTCATAGCTCATATTAATTCTCACTTCTAGAATTAACTATGAATCGTGTCTTTTTCATCACCCATTCCTGGGGGCCCTCCGTTCAGGGTGGCGTGGTGAGAAGAATGCTGAAGTGAGAGCCAGGAGGGGAAGGCCCCTGTTTCAGTTCCACTACTAACTGGCACCTGGCTCTGTGACTTTCTCGCTTTGGATCACAGTACCCTCATCTTAAAATGAGGATGCTGGGCTGGACAATTCTATGGTTCTTCTAGAATGAACCCTGTCTTCATGATAGAATGATAGTTTAGGGACAGTGGGAACAGATTTCCACTCTAGCCTCTGATTGAGGTCAGAAGTAAATACTCTACTCCATTATGGTCCCTGTGCCCAAAGCTCCAGCCCTCTAAGGATCTTGTTGCATTGTCATCAGCATTCTCCAGGAACTCCTTTGTGACCAGCTCCTAAGCACGAGATTCTTGAACATTTCCTGTCCATAAGTGCCCATCATACCCTGTAGGCAGCCAGGCATTAGAGAGTGGAGAGATGCAGGGTTCTAGGAACCCTGCTTAAGCATGCACGCTCAGGAGGGACTTTCTTACCAAACAGCTCAATGTAGACCTCCTGAAGTGTATGCACACTGCAGAACTGGTTCAGTTCGTGGTGGATCTTGTTGAAGATGAGGGCCTTGTCATAGTCGGCAGTATAGTTCTTCACTATATCATACACTGGGAGGGAAGGAAAGGGCTTGACATAAGAAAAGGCAAGACTCAAAATGCCCTTAGACACAGCTCCTTTCCTTTTCTGAGATGCCATGAGAGGCACAGGAGTGGCATGCTGGGGAAAGTGAGCTGGTGGTGAGAATCAACTGTAAGACGTACCTGCATTCGGGACCAGGAAGTTCACCACTTCAATTCTGTCAAAGTAGATCATCACACCACCACTATTGGAGGAAGAATGGACAAAAAGTCACTGGGAAGCTCTGGAATAGGGTGCAGTCCCCTAAGGCGATGGCGTAAGATGTGGGGCTTGGCAGAAAAGGAGTAGAAGAGTTCATAGGAGGCTGGAAGGCAGCTTGGATCTCCAAGTAGGAGTTCTGCAGGGCTTATGGCAACAGCACACTCTCCTGAGAAATCACACTACCTAGGAACATCTCTACAAAGACATAAGTGAGACTTTTGGGGCCAGCACAAAAGGGTAGCTTGTATCTTTGGAGTCAACAATGCCTTTTGATTGAAATAATCAGTTGCATGGAAAAGTCTAAGGAGGGTCAAGAAGTTTTCAGAACTTACAAGGTTACTGTGGAGTTTTGTGGTTAATGTTTCTTAAACTATCTTCACTATCACTTTAGTGTTGCACTCCCCTTGCACTCAAATATTTATTATAGAAAGATTTCAAACACATAGAGAAGCTGAATGAAGAGTACAACTAATAACCATATACAGACACCTAAATTCAACACTGATAACATTTTATCTGTTTTTTTTCCTGAACATTTCAAAGTAAGCTGCAGTTAGGATACTTTTACTCTTTTATTTTGGCGAGCAATGTCTAAGGATAATCATTCTCCTATACACTCGTGATATCATTCTCAAGCCTAAGAAAATTAGCAATAATTCTGTAATATCACCTAATACCCAATCACCTAATACCCAGTCCTTATTCAAATTTTTCCCCAACAGTTTGCGTTACGGAGTGACCTGTGTACACCTCACCCCTAGATTCATATGTTGAAGCCCTAACCCCCAGTGTGCCCGTATTTGGAGATTAGGCCTTCAAGAAGGTAATTAAGGTTAAATAGATCATAAGAGTGGGTCCTGATCCAACAGGTCTGGTATCCACCGAAGACCTTTTTCTCTCAGACAGAGGCAAGGCCATGTGAGGACATGGCATAAAGGTGGTCACCTGTAAGCCAGGAAGAGAGGTCTCACCAAAACTACCCCTGCTGGCACCCTGATCTTAGACTTAGGGTCTTTAGAATGGTAAGAAAATAAATAACCATTGTTTTAGATTCTGGGTATGTGATCCTCTGTCATGGCAGCCTGGGTGGACTCACATAATTCCTGTTGTACCTGTCACAGCTATTTTAAACCAGGTTCTAATCAATGCTCACCCTTGCTACTGTTTATGTCTCTCTACTGTTTAAGTCTCTGTTCTATCCCACATCCCTCTAAATACAACCATTTTGTGAAGAGATCAGGCCTGTTATCTTGTGGAATGTTCCAATTCCGGATCTGTCAGAGCATTTCTTTGTGGTATTCTTTGTTACTCTATCCCAGTTTAAACTCTCCTTTCTTTCCAACGGGACTGCTATAGCAGTGCTTTCTTCGGATCTCTTTGCCCTGAAGGTCTCCCCGACCTTTATGACATTCTCCTTAGTTATGCAAAAGTTATCTTCTTGTATCAGGCCATTTATCTGCTAAAAAACCTTTGTGCACCCTCACTTCTTTATTTCGAATATTAAAATTTTATTTTATTCCCACTTTTAAGTAAGTTCAAAGGTACATGTGCAAGATGTACAGGTTTGTTACACAGGTAAACGTGTGCCATGGTGGTTTGCTGCTCAGATCATCCCATCACCTAGGTATTAAGGCCAGCACACATTAGCTATTCTTCCTGATGCTCTCTCTTATCCCGATTCCATACCCTCTGACAGGCCCCAGTGTGTGTTGTTCCCCACCACGTGTCCATGTGTTCTTATCATTCAGCTCTCACTTATAAGTGAGAACATGTGGTATTTGGTTTTCTGCTCCTGGGTTAGTTTGCTGAGGATAATGGCTTCCAGCTCCATCCATGTCCCTGCAAAGGACATGATCTCATTCCTTCATATGGCTGCATAGTACTCCATGGTGTATACTTACCACATTTTCTGTATCCTGTCTATTGTTGATGGGCATTCAGGTTGATTCCAAGTCTTTGTTACTGTGAATAGTGATCCTCACGTCTAATAGAGTAAGTGCAAACTCCTTTATTAGGCAGGGCATTCTAGCCCCTCCCGAACCATCTATGATTTCCTCTACTGTACTCTTATCACCTGGTCAAATCAATACAGGGAGCTACTGGACAGATAATTAACCAAGAAAGGGTGCCTCCCTTTTCACCGTCTCTTCCTGCAGCCAGCCAGATAGCCCTTTCTCTGACTTATTTGGGCTTAACAGCTTTATTCTGGGTATCTTACCTAGTCCCACAAGGTACATTCTTCACCTCATCTGTCTGGAGTGTGGTCTGGAAACAGAGGAAACATAAAATGCTAGAAGATGGGCAGTGACAAAGTAACTTACTTTTCAGAATTCCAAACGCCTTTGTCCTGGAGTAACTGTTTGGGTTGCGCTTTGCCTTTGTTGAACATGATTGCCCCACCTAATCCTCCTTCTTCATGTTGTTGCTAAGACAAGCAAAGGCCCCTGCCCCAGCCTTGCTGTAAGTGAACCACCACATGAACAAGCTGAGTAATAATGGTTTAGTGAAGACGACACTGGATTGGGTCTCTTAAGACTTGTGCTTACTTCTACCTCTTCTATTTAAGGTAGGCACCACCTTATCCTCAGGGGATATGTTCCAAGACCCCCAGTGGATGCCTGAAACCGCAAAGAGTACCAAGCTCCATGTTTTTTCCTATATGCACACATACCTATGATAAAGTTTAATTTGTAAATCAGGTACAGTAAGCGATTAATGAGTAATAAACTAGAACAATTATAACAATATGCTGTCATAAAAGTTATGTGAAGGTGGTTTCTCTCTCTCTCTGAAAATATCTTATTGAATTGTAGTCCCCTGTTTTCAGAACATGGTTTATTGTGGGTAACTGAGTCTATGGAAAGTGAAATAGTGGACAAGGGGGAGGACTACTGTACTAGTTTGGAAACAGCAGATTACTTATTTAACCCATCTCAGAACCTAACACCTGCTCAGCCCATTCTCAGGATTACTGCAAGACTCAAATGAGGCAATGTACCTGAATGCCCTTTGAAAGTCACAAAGCCTGGTAATCAGCACACGAAACTTACAGGGAAAATGGCTAGGAGATATCCCAAGACATTCTCCTGGATCAGTGTAAAGTGTAAAATCTTTTCATTCTTCTTGGCTGGACATACTTCAGAGATGGCGAGTCTAACTCAGCCAGGCTTTAGGTGTGCCACAACTAACCTCAATCCTATTTAGACGTCATCTCTCCTCACTTAGTTCAACTTCTCCCCACTCATTGCAAAAATTATGTTCAGATTTCTGAAGTTCAAATACGAGTCAGCAAAATTACCATGTTTTCTTTCCAGCTAACATGGTAGCTTGTGATTTAAAACATACACACATACAACCCGACTTTTCCTTCCATACACTCAGAACAGGTTCTTCTCTGGCTTTATCTTGAAGGAATAGTCCCCAGTCTCATTCTCTCTCTCTCTCTCTCTACATATATATATATGTACATATATATATACACACACACATATATATATACATATATACATATATATACACACGCATATATATACATATATGTGTGTGTATATATATATATATATATAAATATAAAAATTATCCTTATATAATTCTCTGGAATGGCACTTTACTTATCCAATGGCTAAATAATTTTAAATCACAAACTAGTCAACAGCCCAAATTTGTAGTCGTCCAACCATACCACAGAGGCCAAGCATACCTGCACAGACTTATATGACGTGATGAAAGGGAGCATGAGATGGAAACCAGGGCCGCTGGTCGAAGTCAGCAGGGCACCGCCTCTGCAGAGGAGGGGGAGAGAGAGGCAGCTTCAGTTTGGCAAGAGGATCTGTTAGATCAACATCATGAGGGTCAACTTTCCCTTCAGCCCTATAAACATATAATAGAGAGTGACACGTGCTGGAGCCATGCCACAGATCCCTTTCCTCCTCTCAGCTAGACCCTAATATTCTAGGAAGCCTGATAGTAAAACATAAAACCATCGTTCATGCTTTTGAAAGGAGAAAAAGAGGCACACCGGCGACGCGGAATAATGACAGCAGAATCTGCTAGATGCAGTCCCAGCGCTTTGGGAGGCTGAGGTAGGAGGACTACGTGAGCCCAGGAGTTTGAGACCAATCTGTCTCAAACAGTGAGACCCTGTCTCTACAAAACAAAAGGAAAAAATTTGCTGAGTGTGGTGATTGCATGCCTATAGTCCCAGCTATTTGGGAGGCTGAGATGGAAGAATCACTTGAGCCTGGGAGCTTGAGGCTGCAGTGAGCCATGACTGTGCCACTGCACTCCAGCTTGGGCAACAAAGTGAGACTTTGTTCAAAAAAAAAAAAAGAAAAAAGACAGCAGAATCCATGGGTATATTTAGATAAGAGGAAGTCTGTTTTACTTTGTCATATCTGTTGGGCTTGTGGCAATCCACTGGATCAGTTAAGTCCAGTAATATGGTTATCAACTACCTGCACTAATGCTAGAGGCCACTCACATGACCAACCAAAAGATTAATTTGAAGCACTTTATAAGTAATTGAAATATATGTTTTGGCAACAGAGTTACCTTTCTAATCAAGTTATATGTGAATGATAAAGTTACAAGCCTTTTTGGGGAACATGAAAGCAGATGATAGGGACAAAGAATTAAAGGAGAGAGGAATCCAATCAGAGTTTTAGAACTGGCTGTTGGCAATCCAGAAATAAGCATCACAATGGCATATATAAGAAGAGTTCATAAAGACATAAAGCAAAAAATTGGGTCATGGAGGTTACTAAAAAGAAAGCAACTCAAGACTTACAAGTGCTTCTTTGCTTTATATTATGCAAAAAATTTAAAAAAAAGTGACATAATGGGCTCCTTTATTGTAGGAACCACTATTGTGAGGCTTGCTTTAATTGACATAAGTCAACCTGCAGGCTCTTTTCTTTCATTTTTCCTGAAATGTTAATATTATTGTAATTTAGTTTTAGAGATAGGGTCTTGCTCTGTCACCCAGGCTGGCGTGCAGTGGTGTGATCACAGCTCACTGTAGCCTCAAACTCCTGGGCTCAAGTGATCCTCCTGCCTCAGCCTCCAAGTAGCTGGGATTACAGGCACGTGCTGCCAAGCTAGGCTAATTTTTAATTTTTTTGTAGAGATGGGCTCTCACTATGTTGCTCAGGCTGGGCTCGATCTCCTGGGCTCAGGTGATCCTCCCACCTCAGCCTCCTGAGTAGCTAGGACTACATGTGTGTGACACCATAGCTGGCTAATTTTTTTTTTCTTAGCGATAAGTTCTCACTATGTTACCCAGGCTGACTGAAATGCTAATTTTAAAAGAGTATCCCAAGTTAGCAAAGTAGGCTACCTTCTCCAGTTGCCATCAAGAACTCAGGCTCAGCTGGCTTTTGCAGTGTGGAGCCAAGACTGCCAGAGGGACGTAGGAGAAAGCAGTATTTTAGGGGTATCTGTGAGGAGCACTGGTTTCCCTTAAGTTTCGTCTCTAAGTCTATGTACACATTTATTAATCACCACCCATGGCATCATCTTGAACTACTAAGGGAAGTAATAAACTTACATATATACATATTTGCTTTCCCATGATTACTGACATAAAAAGCTCAATCTAAAAAGGCTCCCCTATTCAAGGAAACATAAACACAGATGTTCAGCAGAATCTGCTAGGAAAGCAGTGACCAGGAAAGGGAGCTATTTAACAGGAAGTTGCAGGCTTCTCCCTGTCTCTGCCTTACCTGTAATATACCCCAATATGTCCCTCTTCTATCTTGTGCACAGCTGAGAAGAGAGATGCACAAAAGAAACTGGAAACCACGGCCACAACTGCTCCCAACTGAGCCATCAGTGAGCCTGTATCCTAGGGAAAAGACACGGGAAAATGTGTGTGGTCTAACGTGCAGGAGAAAAGGCCACAACAGCAAGGACCTCACCAAGCTGAGCTCCCTGAGTGACTCATATCCAGCCTGGTGTCGTGTGAACACAAGGCTAAATCCACAACTCGCTTCCTCCTCTCTCTCAGTCAACGTTCCCCTTCCCTAACGGTGGAATTAAGAGTCCTCACCGCACTGAGGAAGCACTGGCTCCAGATACAGCCATTGCTCAAGGGAGAACCCGTGCCAGCTGAGAAGGGTTCGGAACACAGCCTTGTCTTCCTGTGAACACGAATGTGCTGTCACTGAACCGCTCATACTAGTAGTAGGGAAGAGAGGCAGCTGCAGTACTTTGGCCCAAATTACAGAGGATGTCAAATGACAGGCAGTTGTGGCTATGTAATTCTGGTCAGAGCCTCCCACTCCTAATTGCCTGCAGTTTCAAGGGAAACCATTATTTACTCCTTTCAGATGCTGGAGTGCCAGAGCCGGCAGGCGAGCAGAGTTCCAAGGTAGGATTCGCTGGCCTCGCATCCACCTTCCCATTTATTCCTTTAGCCCTAAACAGGACAGGGCTCTCAACAAGCCTGGAGCCACACTCCCCCCATATACTCTGGCACTTTACACCTGACAGATCCCCAAGCTCGTGGTCAGAGAGAAAGGGAATGTCCCAAACTGGAAGCCTCAGGGCTCCCGGGTCTAACCGCGTTCAGGCACCAGGACGCGGAGGAGGTGGATCCTGAACGCTGAATGATCTGGAACTATGGTGACTGCAAAGTTCAGCTGTGCGTGCGTGGGCCCGTGAGCGCAGGGCGTGGATTCTGCCTCCCAGGTCTAAACGTGACCCGGGCACGGACATCTGCGAGGCGCTTATTTTACCGTGGCGGCCTCCGGCTACCGATCTGCAGTTGCGTCCTTTCTGCCAGTGCCCTTCCCTCCCCGAGGTCAATCGTGCCCCTTCCCCGCCCCGTTCCGAGAGAGGGTCAAGCGCCCTGGGCTGGAGCTGCGGCTCCAAGAGCCTCCGCTCGGTCTCCCTGAGGCTCGCAAGGAGGGGACCGACAGAAAACGGTTTCTGTCTCGCTCCAAGAGAGGGCCAGCTGAGGGAGAGGGGCTGCTGGGACAGGGGTTCCCGAGGGTGGCGGGTTAGTCCCGGCCGGGTGCAGCAGCTAGGCCCAGCGCGCGTACGAAGGGGCGGGGGCCGCGTACCGGGCTGTCCCTCCAGGCGCTCCGTACTGGTCCGAGCCCCAGTGCAACGGTAGAATCCGCCACACCCCTCAATACGCGACTTCCTTCCGGGCCGTCGCTTCGATGACGCCATCAGTTCACGCGAGAAGACCACACCCCCGCCCCGCCCTCGCTCTGCGCCCCGCCCTTCGCGCTCCCAGTGGTCGGTGGCCGCAGGTGGCCGCCAGGGATCGCCCGCGTCACGGTTCGTGCGGTCCTGGACCTCGGTCTCGGGTATCCTGCCTGGTGCTGGGGATGAGAGCAGGGAAGGTGGGAGCTCCCCGAGAACGAGCGGCGGGACGCGCGTGACCGGGAGTGCTGAGACCCAGGGTGTCCCTTTTCAAGGCACTGACTTTGGGGATTGCTCCGGATTTCCCTCCGCAGAAGGCCAAACCTGGTTAGTTTTGGTTTTTTTAGAGACGAGGTCTCACTGTTTTGCCCAGGCTGGAGTGCAGCGCACAATCATAGCGCACTGCAGCCTCAAACTCCTGTGGTCAAGCGATCCTCCCACCTCAGCCTCCTGAGTAGCTGGGACCAGAGGCGCCCGCCACGGCACTTGACAATTTTGTTTTTCGTAGAGACAGGGTCTCGGTAAATCTGGTCTCAAACTCCGGCTTCAAGCAATCCTGCCTCGGCCACCCGATGTGCTGGGATTACAGGCATGAGCTGCCACGCCGGCCTTTTTTTGTTTTGTTTTTCCCCCTTGATCAGGTACTAGCAAGTTGCAACTGTTCTCTTTCCCATAGCACAGCTGAAAACATCTTTTCAATGTGCAGATTACCATCATTACTTTACTAATTAATAATCCCTACCTTACTAATTAATAATCCCTGCCTTGAATTGTCCTCTATATTTTTCTGGGAGCTTTGGCCCTTGTGATCCTGCAACGCCACAAAGTATACTAACAAGGAATTATTATCCTAATTTTAATGAACGGAATCTAAGAAGTTCTGCGAGGTTGAGGGGTAAAAACAGCCAAGGAGGCTGGGCGCGGTGGCTCACGCCTGTAATCTCAGCACTTTGGGAGGCCGTGGTGGGCGGATCACCTGAGGTCAAGAGTTCGAGACCAGCCTGGCCAACATGGCGAAATCCCATCTTCTACTAAAAATACAAAAATTAGCCGGGACTGGTGGTGGGCGCCTGTAGTTCCAGCTACTCAGGAGACTGAGGCAGGAGAATCGCTTGCACCCTGGAGGTGGAGGTTGCAGTGAGCCGAGATTGTGCCATTGTAGTCTAGCTTGGGCAACAAGAGCAAAACTCCTTCTCAGAAACAAAAAACAAACAACAAAAAACAGCCAAGGAAAGCTTCCTTTGTGTTTCCTCAATATCTTGAGTTTACTGCCTTTGTAATCCCCGCCACAGTGCACAGGGGCTTGTGCATTTCATCGTCTTTATGGATAAACTGTCCATTCCCCGGAGAGCAGAGACTGACTTTCCTTCCGCCTCCCCCCCGGCCCCCCCAACTCCCCGCACCCCGCCGGGCTTAGGTGCACAGTAAATGCAGACTGAAGGCAAGGTGGGATCAGGCCCAGAATCCAGACTTTGTGTCTCCTAGTCTAAGGGCCTCACGTTGTCCTCAACCTGTCCTATTCACCAGCATCAATTGGGGCATTTCTAATTCAACCACTGAAGTTATTAATATTTTGTTTGCAGGAGAGAAAGAGTCCGCTTAATTATAGCCTTCAGTAAATAAAAAACTTTTACACTGGGAAGATGGCAAGCTGGTGGTGGTTGACAGTTTTAAGACTCAGGAAAAGGGAAGTGTGGTTTTTTCAGGCATGCCTGCTTGGGATTGGCCCGTTTGCCTTTCCTGGGTTTGCTCTGAGTGTTGGGATGTTTCAGCATTACATGGTGAAGCCCACAGAGGGCTACATGGTGCTGTCTGGCAGGTCTGTGCCCATCTCCATAAATGAAAGCCTTTCCTCTCCCTACTCTGTCCCTGCATCCCCCACCCCAAACAGACACAGCTGGCCATTCTCTTGACCGATCCTATCAGAACTTGAGTTTTTTCTCACCTGGTTCAGTGATATAACTCAGCTGGGCATGCTTAATAAATGTTTATTTAATAGTTGAGTGAGTAAGAAAAATGGAAATATTAGGGTTCATCAACCCAAGAAATAGGGGCTAGCCTGCAGCATCAAGTATTTAAATTACTTGTAATTTAAGAATTTCGTTTAACCAACCTCTGGCAACGCCCATCTTCCATCCGCTTCCTATAAGTATGTACAATTATTATGTGTCAATTAGAAATAATAAAAGCACAATAATTTCCTCACAGTAAACTTTACAGTGAATTGTGGGTAGAAGTTTTGGGATTTTGTTCTTAGGAGGCTTTTTACCAGGACTGGGTTATTTAGTTGTGGACCTGCCTAAAGGCAAGGGGTTGGACTTCAGTAGATGATCTAGTACTTCTGAAAACCTTCTTAAGAGACTTGTGATTTTTATGTTACCCAGCAGTGATTTATTTAACAAAAGAGTTTACGATTTCTTCCTTTCTTTCTTTCTCTCTGTCTTTCCCCCCCTCCTTCCTTCCTTTCTTCTCTCTTTCTTTTTTTTGAGATGGAGTCTTGCTCTGTCGCCAGGTTCGAGTGCAGTGTGCGATCTTGGCTCAGTGCAACCTCCACCTCCTGGGTTCAAGTAATTTACTTGCCTCAGCCTCCCCAGTAGCTGGGACTACAGGCACGTGCCACCAGGCCCAGCTAATTTTTGTATTTTTAGTAGAGACGGGGTTTCACCATGTTGGCCAGGATGGTCTCAATCTCTTGACCTTGTGATCTGCCTGCCTCAGCCTCCCCAAATGGTGGGATTACAGGCGTGAGCCACCGCGCCCGGCCTCTCTTTCTCTCTCTTTCTTCTTTCTTTCTTTATTTCTTTTTCTTTCTTTCTTTCCTTTCTCTTTCTTTCTTTTTCTTTCTCTTTTCTTTCCCTCTCCCCCTTCCTTTTTCTTTCTTTCTTTTTTTCTCTCTCTCTCTTCCCCCCCCTTTCCTTCCTTTCCTTTCCTTTTTCCTTTCCCTTTCCCTTCCCCCTTCCCTTCCCCCTTCCCTTCCCCCTTCCCTTCCCC